ACGGCCCACCCGTTTGAACTAATAAAGTGCCAGGGGCCTAAGTGGTCACCTCAATATTAAAAAAAAAAAAAAAAAAACTATTTCTGATGTAGTGTGACAATATTGTGTAGTTGTTAAAATGATTATTTAATTATTTGATATTCATAGTATGTTTAATAATTAGCTAAGGTTTGTATTGCTATTATTACTCTCTATTTCTTGTATATAAACTTGAGGAAGGTGCAGATTGTTAATTTTTATTATATGAAATATTGAGAAATCTGCAAATTTTCTAACAATTGTTATATATCATAAAAAATATATATATAAAAATTTAACTTGTTATTTGATAATTGGTTTAATAAATATAAAAAAAAGTTAATTCAAATATAATAATAAATAAAAAATTGATTCAAATATAACTGAAGAACTATTTTTTTTTAACAATTTAGCAATCTTGCCAATACTTTATTAGAGTACAATATTTAACTCATGGAAAAAATATGATTTTTAGCTCAAGTTACCTAAAGCTCATCTAAATTAAAAGTATTAGCTAACCCAACTCTTTGTAATACTAAAATGTTCAAATTACTTATATTTGATCTGCTATAGTAAAGTTTATCACAATACCAAAAATCCTGCAACTGAATAATTTGATACATCACTGAATTATTTAGTCTATTAAGATCTTCTTCTTTCTAACCTTCTTCTTCTAGCTTCCCAAGCAGAAGTATTCATAGTCTCTGACTAACTTATAAAAAAATACTAATACTAACAAAAAATAAATAAATAAAACAAAAAAGAGAAGAAAAAAGCAATCTAAGCAACAAGAAAATGAATAACAAATGAAGAATAAGAAAAAGGCAGAAAAAAACAATCTATAAAAGCACTATTATAGCTCATGCCAGGCACAATCATAAAAATTATATACTAAATTTAAAAATCTTATATATCTTCATTGTAAAGCTAAGCCTAATCCTTAAATTTTCTTCTGACTATACTGTCTTGATCTGGGTTGGTTTATTAACCGGAGTGCCAATTAGTTCGTTATATAGTGTAAAAATATTATTGCTAAAATAATTCTATGTTTATATTCTATTTTGTCTATCCAAAAATAGAAAGTGTAAACAATGCCAATTTTTTAGAAGGGGTAAGCTGAAATACCTACTTTTTGTCAAAATTTTTGTGAGAGCAGCAGAGAGATGAAGTAAAGAAAGTAAAAACCACTTGTATACAAAATAAAGAGTGTAAAATTCTCTTACTAGAATCAATTACAGTCTATATCAGAACATGTACAATACTAAGTTTTTTTAGTGAATGATAAACTCTGAACTTGTTAGTAGATAGTAAATAACAAGTGTCATGCCTGTAATAACAGTAAGTGATAAACTCTAAAAATATTAGCAAATAGCATATAAGAACTATCTCTAAACAATAATTGCTGTTCTAAGGTCCCTCTTCTCATGTCTTATAGTTTAATATAGCCATTTGTATTTTTCTAGTAAAAAGTTTTTTGGAAATTTTTGATAAAGTGATTGTTGGAAAGAGTTGACAATTCAAAACTAAAAAACTATTTAATTTATTATCTTTATTAATGTCATTAATAAATATAAATTATATATTATTAATAATAGTAGTTATTAAGAATCATCTAAGTTATCTTTCAAGAGGTAAAAATTTTAAATAGCATACTGTATTATTTGTATCTAGAGACAAAATACTAAGTTGGTGCAAACTGTTAAAGACTAGCAAAGTTAAATGAATAATATATAGCTTATTTATCTTATTGATTAATAAAAAATTATATAAACAATAAATGACTACCTCTATATTTAAATGTATATATAGATATATATTATTATGTATATATATTAACTGCATGTAAATATGCATAAGATAACATATAAAATTGCAAGAATCTGTGCCTTATTACATGCTATAAATATGCTTTCTTATATATTGTCTCATATAGATTTATATGCAGGTTCATGTAGTCTTATATCCAAACTTTTCATATATTGCAGCATTATTCTAGGCTGCCATTTGTTATAGAGTTATAAATCTATATTGTATTTAAATTCATAAAAAATGTTTAATATTAGAGGTCCATTTTTAAAATTTATATTTAATATGTACAATTTTTTTATTTATATAATAATATTATATAGAAAAACAAGTTATTATAATTTATATCATAATAATATAAGCATAGTATAGACTAGTAGTATTTTTTATAACTATTCTAAAGTGCAATATTATCGCGGTTTTCGAAATGGTTGACACTAAAATATTTTGTATACTCACTGTATACTGATATAAAATCATCTAACCCTAAAAAATTTTTTTATATACTTTAAATACAACTAATATATAAAAAAATTTTTTAGGGTTAGATGATTTTATATCAGTATACAGTGAGTATACAAAATATTTTAGTGTTAACCATTTTGAAAACCGCGATAAACCTTCAAATTCTCTATTATAACTAATAAATAATAAAATTGCCTACTTTTTACAGAAGAATAGAAGCTATAACAATCTATTATTAATTTTAAGAAAATGAAGAAGAACCTTAGCTGAAACAAATTAATATCTAATTAATATATTAAATAAATATAGAATTACTGTTATTAAGAATTAATGCTTAATTAACATAAGGGGAAATCAATAGAAAAGAAAATTTTTTCAAAGTTTTTTAACTCTGAGTTAATATATTAATTAGCTAAAGGTCAATAAGGCATTATCAATTAAATTTTAATTAGGAGGAAGTTTAAAACCAACAGGTGCTATTATACAACCTATACTATTCATTGGACGATTGGGCAGATTACTTGGATTTCGCAACTAAAACTCGAATATAGTATTGGTTTGGTAAATTAGCTGGTGCCTCAAATGTGGGATTTGCATTAAATAAACATCCAGCTTCAGTTCGAGGAGCAGTAGAGTTATTATAATCTTCTATAAGAGAGCCTAAAGCATTAAAAAAGCCAATATAAATCAGCTCTTTATCCGTAACAGAATAATTTAGAGTTCTGGAAACTTTGAAATTAACACTTTGTTCAGAAATTACTGGATCAGGAGAAACACTTGCACTGATTGCACCTACAAAGTGTCCCTCAATAATACAAAGATTAGAAAAATCGGTGGAACTTTTCTCAAGTGGAATAGCATTGGTAACGAAAAGTGCAATCAACAAAATAAATGCAAAAAATAAATTTTCTATTCATTATTTGTTTTTATAAGTTATATGATATTTAGGATATATAGCTGAGGTAATTAATATTTTAGTTATTGAAAATTGACTTCAGTCATTATCCTTTTATAAGGATTTTCATCTAAAAACTTTTATGCATACAGCCTCCATTTTAAACTATGCCAAATTCGCGTCTTATAATTTATATATTTAATATAACATATATTAATATTATATTTCCATTTAGATATATCATATATTAATACTTGAAATGAATGTTAAAAAGTTTACTTATACAGTCTAAATTTAAATTTGGCTTGGTGAGTTTCATTTCTAAATATAGTGTTCCGCAAATGGATTCAAGATTCGGAATCGAATCTATAATTTGCAAAGCTTGCGGATCCGAATCAAAGAGAGATTTGATCAAATAATATTCGATTCATTCCATTATTATTAACGAAATATACAAACAAGCGACAAAACTCTGATTTCTTGTGATCTTTTTATTTTTGGAATTTTATTGATCTTTTTTCCTTGAAAGCATATAAAATATTACAATTCAAATACATCGAGCTAATAGTGTGCTTGTTTCTGAAATGAGGTTATGATTAGTACATAATTAGATCAAGTTTCAAATTAAGCAGTTAACTTGCTGTATAAGCATGAAATAACGCTCGTAAGCGTTATTTTGAAAATCAGGTGCTTCAAAAATAACTTATATGGTCTCGAGTTAATACTCATAAGCATCCTCTAGACATGTATTTCACATACACTTTCCCTATAATGATAAGTGCACATAATTTGATCGGCCTAATGTAATTATTTAACGTTAAAATTTTGAGTCTCATGACTTTAGGAGAAAATCCGATTATTCTCCAAAGCGTATAAAGATCAGTGATAGTCATAAATTTGGTTTTATCATGTACGAGTGAAGTTTGTAGATCCAAAAGAAATCATTACTACAAATTATATAATCTGCTGTCATGGCATCATAAAAATGAAGAATAATATCCTTACTTTCCATAAGCCAGCAGATCTCTGTATGAGGGCCTTTCGGGCCTCATATAACTGGAAATTTATTTCTTATTTCCGCAGTTGCGAAAAATAAATAATGATTATTCACTTAATTTGTTTCTTATTTCACTGATTTAGTTGGTGATGATCATAATAGTAGATGTATTTGAAATTAGCTATTTCTTTATATTTATACTAGTTCCTTCTGCGCGTAAAATTATAATACATATTGGCTAAAATTTAAATAGCTTAAGGTATATTTTAAGTAGCTTTTTATATATGCATATTTTGTAAATTTTATTGATTATTAATCAACCTAGTTATATGTTATTTATACATATGATAACCGAATTTTTCTTAGTACGTGCGCATATTCCTAAGCTAGCAAAAGTGATTAGCAGAAATTTTAGCATTCAATAAACATAATTGTGCTTCAAAAAGTTCATTCGGGTAAGGTTTAGGGCTAATCATATTTTATTTTGATATCTATTGATTGTTAATTGAATTTGGGTGTCGAGATTTCTTCGATCAAAGATTAAAAAAAATAATAATAATAATTAAAATGACTATATTACAGGGGTGTGGCATTTAGAGATGGGTAAAATGCGCATTTTATAATAAAATGCGCATAAATGCACATTAATGTGCATGATATATAAAATGTGCATGATACCGCATGATAAAAAATTTTTTTTAAAATTTTTATCTTTATTACTGATAATATATCTAAATAAAGATACTACATATTTATCCTTAATC